CAAAAAGGGTCCTCTTCCCCCATCCCAATTATTGCCGTGTCTGTGTGCTGCCTGCCTCAGGCTGTGCTGCCCACACATGCCCCACACCACAGTGAGCATGAGGAGCCCCGCATGGCTGCCATCGCCACCTGAGACTCTAGTGGCTGGTGCAGAACAAAGCAGCACCCAGCGCCTCTTCCAGGCATCTCCCCTCTTTCCTGTGCTCTTGCTGTCCCATTAACACTTGAGTGTGAAATTTCCCTTCATGTTCCAGTTGTGCATCTAGAATGCCCTTCTCTTTTTTCCTTCTCTTCAAGAAGCACCAGTGCTCTCCCTGCCACCCAAAATAATCCAGCACTTGATCCCACAGTTACACTGCTCTTCAGCTCACTCGGTTTCCCTGGTAAACACCAAAGACACCGAAGCACACTGAAGGACTTGAGTGCTTGCTTCCTCCTTGAGACCATGAGTGCTTAGGATCGAGTACTCTGCAGTATTTCTGCTGTGTTCTCAGGACATAGCACATTCTGTACTCGGACTTTATTTTTGAAATTTATTTTAAAAGAATTACTTACTTAATTTTGCTTATCATCATAATCTTTTAAATTTGCGATAGGCATGTGTGCTCATCAGAGAGAGAGAGAGAAAGTGAGAAAGCAAGCCGCCAGGTCTGGGACTCAAACTGTAGTTGGTCATGAGGGAGTCAAGTACCTTAATCTCTATGCCAGCTGCCAACACCCATACTAGGACTTTAAAACAAACAAACAAGTCTAGCTGCAGTGGCACTGCTGTGTGGTGGCAGAGGCTACATGGGAGGCCTGGGTTCAGTTTCTGCTGATCAGGCTGGGTATGAGAGTGTGAACCCGTAGTCTTGGCTGAGTGGGAGGCCAGGTGGAAAGGACTGCAAAGTGGTGAGAACCTGTCAAAAATATCCAACTCTCTTTCTCACTCCTGCTTATTCTCCCCGTTATAAAACAACAAAAACAAATAACACACATACATACATTTTGCCTTGGGGCATTTGGGCATGCACTTACTGGAGAGAGAAACAGAGACAGAGACAGTGAGAGGGAGAGTTAGAAATCATCCCCCTAGGGAGAATGGCCATACCACAATCCTTTTTCTTTCATTCTCCCCCTAGGATCTTGGGCATACATGCATATGTGCCCAGATTGATTTTCAAACCATTGGATCCTGGACTCAAACTGCTGTTAGCCACATGGGAGTCCAGTAACATAACCACTATGCCATCTGCTGGTCTCTCTCTCTCTCTCTCTCACTCTCTCTCTCTCTCTCTCTCTCTCTAAGATTTTTGCTATAGGGCCCACACACTTACTGGAGAGACAGAGAGAAACAAAGAAACAGAAAGTGAGAACTTACCCCCTGGGAGGATGGCCATGTCACAATTCCTTCTCCATTCTCCTCTTAGGATTTTGGGTGCATGTGCACAGTTGCCTGGCATTCATGCTGCCTGTCAAGGACTTGAACCACAGTTGGCCACCTGGGAGTCCAGCGTCTTAACCACTATGCCACCTGCTGGCTCCAGTAATATTTTTAATAAACTAATAATTGAGAAAATGAATGAATGGTTAAGTGGTCAAACAAATAAACATAACAAAGAGATAAATCTATAAAGCCATTTCCTATCTGATTTCCATGTTTGCAAGGCCTGGACCTTGAGACAGACATGACTACTGCATGTTATTTTATGTAGTTGTGGGTGTGAGAGCTGGCTTTGCAGATACAGCTGGACAAGGGTGAACTCTGGAATACGAATGGTACCAGAATTATCGTATCTGGAGGAATGGGGGCCTAATTTTTACACTCTAGATAAATCACCGGCTGAGGTTACCAGTTGTGAGTGGTGAAGGGTGCTGTGAAAGTGAGAGCTAGGAGATGGGGCATCAACTGGAAATTTCTCAATAACATTATTTGTTAACCATTTAATGAATAATTGAGAAGCATGTGTATTCCCTGGGACAAAACTCTGTTCTAAGCTTCCTCACTGTCAACCCCACTGAGGTGCTGGAGTCAATTCTCGAGTCTTTCTCTTGCAACTCTCCATCATCTCCTGTAAACAAACACACACAGGCACAGACACAGCTACCCTCAACTTTTTTAATACGTTCTTTTTGTAGAATAACGGTAAGTAGAAAGTGCTAAGAATTTTATGTTGGTAAGGTTCTAATTGAGATCTTGTACACATCACTTACTAGTACGTAGAGTTTGCCTCTGTGATTAAATTGCTAAGACTATAAAAGCCTAAATGTTCCCATCAGTATAGTGGACATTAAAATGCCTCATTTTAGGTTCATGATTTATCATAGGGAGATTTAACATACTTGCAGACATTTTTAGCATCTTATTATTATGCTTATTGTTCTTCCAAATGTGCTAACCTTACTTAAGAGTAAGGCCACAGGTACTTCCTAAGAATCAAATTTTAGATTAGATACAGCTTACGGTTTATTTCTATGAGATTTACTTTTCCCTTTGTACATAATATTTTTCATTCCTTTAGGGATAGAAAGGAATCTCTATCGTACCCTTTGATTTGAAGTGAATGTACACAATGCATTGCACCTGCTGAAGGAAAACACTTTAGGGAGCTGAAATGGTGAAATTTCCATGTCATCATGGCCAGGAGGCACTCGTAGGTGTGCTCTCTCAAGGTGCATTGTGAGGGCCACTCCCCGGTCTCTAGGTCCCGGTTGGATGATGCCATGGGCAGCACTCAAGGCTCCCCAAAGAGGCTGGAGGCTTCCTCTGCATACAGAATGGGGAAAAATAATGGAAAATAGACAAGAGTAAAGTCAGACAAACACTCTGGCAACCAGTTCCCCTTTCTTTCTCTAAGTGGTAATACAAAACAAATCGGTTTCAGCATTTGTATGAGGAGAAAATGGAAACAAATTGAAAGTATTTGGTAATTTTTAAAAACTAAGGGAATGTTTTCCTAAAAAGTTTGATGTATAATCCAGAGGTTTCTATTCCATTGTGTCATTCATGTAGTCATTCAAATTTTTCATTAATTGTCCTGTAATTTGTTTACTTGGAGCAAGTTTTCTTAGGGTGTGGTGTATATCATATATTCTGAAGAAAAATAAGGCCAAGTATCTATGTTCAATATACTGTTAATAAACGGTCAGACAGTGACCCAGTGATAAAGCCCAGCACTCTGTGAAGCGAGCCCACCCACATGGGAAGGCTGCTAGTTCGTGTCGGGTAACCACAGGCATGTATGTGCTCATGACTTGGACTGGCTGAAGCTGGGGATGGATTGTGGCACTGGGAACCTGCAGGGGTGGGTGTTCTTTTGTTCTTTCTCATTCTTTCTTTCTCTCTGACTCTCTGACTTACGAAAGAAAAAAGAAGGAAAGAAAAAAAGAAAGAAACTTAACACACATACACACATATATACTTGATAAATTATTTTCAAATCTAATATTAACATTTTGGAGAAGGGATATGGAGGCAGAACATTGACAGGATCAGGAGGTGTGGTTTTATCAGTTGAAGATATTTTGATCAACTGGACTGGGGAGAAATGTCCACATATTGAAATGTTCACTTTGTAAGCTAAATAATGTAATTGAATGTATTAAAAAAAACATTAATAATCCTTACTCTACTTATTTTGGGCAGGGTGCTGTGCTATATGCCAGGAATATAAGCAGGTGTACAAATTAGTCATTTTAAAATTTATTCGATAATTTATTCAAAAACTGTTCCTCAAACATTTTATAATGTGTCTTGTGCCAGATTATGGAATAAAGTATTGACAGTCAGAAGTCAATGAATTCGCAGAACTTATAGGAAAGAGGGAGCGTTACTGAATGGGGATGTGTTCAGGTAGTAAAAGAAAAATGAAGATGCATTTTAGGCAAGAAAAATTTCATCAATAAGCTACAGTAATCAAAATGAGCAGAACTTTCTGTTGGCAAATAGGAGAGTTTGAAAGGCAAACGTTGAATCTGGTAAGAACATTTGGAAAACTAGCTGGGCACTGCCTCCTGGTTTTCTCCATTTGATTGTGTTATAAAAGTGATAATGGCAGATGGAATCAAGTTTGAAGAGACTTCCCTGCTGTGCCGTGGCTGAGTGACAAGGCACTCCTAAAACAGACTAAAACATAAATTCATCCATTCACTATTTATTGTAAACACATTTAAAAAGTGAGTAAAGTGCCACACACAGAATATAGAAAGATGAATTAGATTGCCCTCTCTCCTATCTTCAGGGGTGACAGGCCTCTGAGGGAATGTGGCCACCAAGTGTGAGTAGGAACCACACAGATGAAATGCTTCACAGGGGGCCACCCGTTGGGAGGCCTCGGTAATGAGTGTAGTTGTTGCTGCATGGCCCACTACGGAGATTTTTAACGAGATGAGATTGTGATGGATACAGAACTGGGCTTGGCAAACTGTAGCTGGGGGCCCACATCCAGGATGCCACATGGGGCTGCATGGCCTTCAAGCTAAGAATAGCTTTTACATCTTTAAGTGGTCGAAAAACATGAAAAGAAAAAAGTGTGTATTCTTGTATATGATAGCCATAATTCAGTGACTGCTGGGTTTCATTGGGATGGATCCTGTCCCCCAGGATGGAGCTCTGTTCATGTGTTTGTATTACCTGTGACTGCTTTGACATTAAAATGCGGAATGTAGTAGTTGCAACAGAGACTGTTCAGCCTGCAAAGCCTAAAACACTTGCCATCTGGTCTTTTACAGAAAATGATTACTGTTCTCTCATGGAGAGTAGTCAACTAGCAAGTTTGGTCTTGAGATGTTGGGCGACTGTGACAGACTGGGCTTGGCAAACTGTAGCTGGGGGCCCACATCCAGGATGCCACATGGGGCATGAAGGAGACCTCCTTATGCCTCCCTGCTGCTTATACCTAGTGACACTGACATCCCATCATGGCCCCAGCTCAATCTGTGACTCTTCATTGAGGGTATCCTGGTCAGTTCCTCAATTAGACAAAAGCCCAGGCTACCTTGGTGCTCTGCACCTAATTGCCACTATTCTAAGGGAAATGTACATTCTTGCTCATCAGTTGGAAGTGTTTTGTGGCCTGCTCCATGGCCTGGTGACTAAGGGAGCTGTCCCACATGGCCAATTGTTGTTAAATCCCAGCCCTGTCGTTTGAAAAATATGGGTGCATGCCCCAATTCCCAACAGGATGGAGAAATGAAGGAGAAGGCATTGTGGCATCACCGTTGCCTATGAAATGATTTCTTGCTTTCCCCCTCTATGTCATTTTCTGGCAAGGGCATACACTCTCTGGCAAATTTGAAAACAAAAAATCATCATGGAGGTATTTTTGAACTGATGCATTATATGTTGAAAAGAGGCATTGTTTTCTGTCCTCAGCATGCTTATGGAAAATGAGTGACAGCAATGACTCACTGGAGAAGGTTAAACAAAATCTCACCCTTCTTTTCCAGAACTACTGTGGCTATTCAAACTTTATGTCTATTTGTAAATTCCCTGTATCTTTGGAGACTCTTTGTTTTCTCTAGGCAACTTCTCTCTCAAATCCACCCCTCTTGGCATGTGTTCTATTTTCAGCACAGGTTTTGTTTCCAGCCACAGTCTACTCTTGTGCAACTGTGGACACAGCTTGAGTGGTTTGCCTGGAGATTATAGAGAAGATGAAGTCTTTTGAGTTCACCCCCCAGATATCTAAGCAATTGCTTTTATTTTCTGGAGAGGTTTTTGCTATAGGGCGTGTGCGCTCGCCAGAAAGACAGAGAGAGACAGAGGGACAGAAAACGAGAAATCACCCCCCCAGGGGGTATGGCCATGCCGCAATCCCTTCTTCTCCTTTCTCCTCTTGGGATCTTGGGCACGCATGCACATGCGCCCGGTGTGAATTTAAGCCACAAGGTCCTGTGCTCGAACCGCAGTCTACTACATGGGAGTCCAGTGACGTAGCATTATGCTAACTGCTGACTCCTGGCATGAATATAAGCCACTGGGTCCGGGACTTGAACCACGATCGACTACATGGAAGTCCAGCGACATAGCCATTATGCCATCTGCTGGTCCCAGTAACTGCTTCTTAAAGTTTGCAACTTAAAGAAGAAAGAAAGACCCTTTTGAAAAAGCAATGTAATACACTGTAAAGCTATATGTCATCCAATGTAATATAAAGAAGATTATGATGATAATAAAAAAAATTGAATACTCAAAAGAAAAAAGAAAGAGAGAAAAGAAGAAATGGATAGAGGAAGAATGGGAGAGAGAGAAGGAGAAAGGAAGGGAGTAAAATAATGCATTTCCTTTAAAAAATAGTAATTAAAATTTTTCACTCAAAATATGAGAAAATTCAGAGTGTGTATTTTATGGCAAAGAAAAAGGACATGTTTCCTGAGCAGTCGTCTCCTTTAATAAAGGTTGAGGTGATCTGTGGCTAGTCCAACACCTTCAGTAGGAGTTTATATTTGAAATGACACTCGGTAATTATAACCCTTTGCTTAGAGACACCATTGTGCTAAGCAAATTTTAGTCAAGCACTGACTAAACTAATATGTCATGACACCGATAACAAATTGTACAAATTCCTGTGACCTTCATCCTTCTTATTTTGTATTAAATGCCATCCTGTCAGATAGGAATGAATGGATGGCATGGGAGGCTGGATAGTGTGGATGGCCTTCCATGAGGAGAGTCTGTTAAAGCAGCTTTCAACTTGCCAAGTTGGGCTTTGGAAATTATATCTTCTTGCTGTTCAGAAAGTATGTGGCAAAGTTAACTTTGATTCCATTATCCTGACCATGTGTTCCTGTTTGGATTCTGTATATTCTGGAATGAGTGTTTACTTCCAATCCTGCCTTTCTACTCTCTCTGGCTCCCACTACTATAATACATTTCAAATCAACATAAAGTTTTCACTGCTCAAGACATTGGTCTCCTGAGGATTCATCACTGTGAGGGGAAACTATTCTTAAAGTAAATGGAATCCAAGCATGGCTCTGCCTCCCTATCAAACCTGAAGGACAGCGATCTTTAAAATATTTGCCACTTTTAACCAACACTCTTACATGAAGAGAACACAAAAGATAGATGCCTCACATTCCCCCCTCACCCCTGCCCCCCACGAGGTAATCTTGTGGAAGTTTTTCAAGATCGAGCTACTTAGAGACATAAAATTTCTCAGGAAAATTTTCCCATAAGCAATCAGCAGCCAACATTGTGTTAGATAACACTAGAGACCTTTTAATTTTTAATTGCCAGTGGGTGTGTGCACTCACCAATTTTGGACACACAAAACCAGTCTGGACTGTTTTTCAAGCCACTGGGATGGAATTTGTACTGATTGACCATGTGGGATCTAGCTCCCTTAACCTCTAAGCCACAGAGCCAGCCCTACTAGGGGCTTTTAGACATCTTTTCTACATATTCAATCTACCTGGTAAGGTAGATCTGCTTTCTACCTTTTATTTGCATCTGATCTTCACAGAGGGAGGTGGATTACCCAGGGTTATACAGTTGGTAGGAGCTTAAGACAAGGGTTTGTGTGACTCCAAGATCGATTTATTTTTCGTACCATCTCCTAAGACTTTTCTGGTAATTTGAAACAAAAATGAACAGAGAATGGTCAGACTTTCCGCAGTTTTATTCCTAGCACCAGCTTTGCCCTATATCAATCCTGGATTAGAAGTGCTCCATGGACTAGAAATGCCAAGGATCCGTGGACTTGCTCACAGTGAGGCAAGGACAAGTCCCATTAGGGATGCCTTCTATAGAGTTCACACCTCAGTGCTGCCTAAGACTCATTGCCCGTGACCCCCACTGGTTATTTGTCTACTTTGTAACACCTCCCAATCTTTGTTTTTACTTGAGGCTCACACCTGCCCTCCTGTAGGAACATGCTAGATGTATTTTTTGTTTCTATATATTTGCCCGATAAAAACATCAAAGTTTAGAAAAGTTATCTAGTTTATCCAATAAAGCCTAGCCTCTTAAATCTATGCCACCTCTTTAACAAACCAGAGCTCAACTACTGCTCAGGGAAGTTTCCTAAATGGCTAAATCTTCAGGATGGGAATTGTGGGCTGCCAAGAGGAAAAACTGGAGAAACAGTTAATAGAAAGAAGGGCATGGTCCCTAGTCATCGAGGTATACTTCCCATTTGCAAGTATTCACTGAACATTTTCCATGCTTTACTCTGTAATGGGTTCCTGGGGGGCTTTGGAGACTAAATCCTGTTCTCTGGCCTCTAGAATTGTAGAATGAGAAGAATAAAAGCTCCCCATAGGATATTTGTGAAATATAAATAAAGAGATAAATATTAAAATCTTGGATCAGCCTATGGCATATGGCTAGCATTTTAAATAGTCCAGTTTCTCATAAGGATATATGCAAGTGAGATTTCTGTCTGTGGTCTGAGTGATGTCTCCTTTGGGATTCATGATCATTGATTCGACCTATTGATTCTTTGCTTCTAAGCTGCTGGCTCACTCCTTTGCTGCCTCCCCTGCAGGAGGGAGTCTCAGCCCCAGGTCCTCTATTCACAAGCCACTCCTTGAACCTCGTTACCTCATCTCTATTAGAGGCCAAGCCAAAAACAGTGGGGCTCTCAAGTCAGGATTATTAGAGAGGCTTAGCTATGAAGCAGCAACATGCAGAAGTGAACAGAATGTGGAAGAACTATAAAAAATAGTGCGGTGACCCACAGCTAGAAACAGCAGAGGGAACAATTACTGGGACCTCGAAGGGTAGTTGAATAGATCAGACTGCCTTGGTAGAAGCCATGATATTGGGTACTTGTCAGACAAAACAACCTCGAAAGGTGGAAGTCAATAGAATAAATGTCCTGACCTCATTTACCTTTCTCCTTTGTTCTGCTTTTGGGATCCTGGTGCTATACCCTTAGGAATGACTTGAGATGGTCCTATCAATCTGCCTTCTCAGGCAGAAAGAGAGGTTGGAAGGGAAGAAATGGATATAAAGGGCAACTAGGAAATATTTGGCATGACCGTTTCTCCTCACAGCTTCTTTGTGAACCCTTGTCTCAAATATCCTCAGCACACTCTCTGGGCCTTGACCTCCCTTTCACTGCTTGATTCTGAAAACAGGGTTTTGCTCTTATAATCCTGCCTCTTAACTTTACACCTTGGCTACAATTTGCTTTTGTCCTCAAGTATAAGCTGTCTTCAGTGTTGCTTATGTTCTGGACTGTTTTAGCCCTTTCACATGGGCTATAATCCTGCCATATACCCAGTCACATCAGCAAGGAGGAGACCTCTCTGAGAATCTTCTGGAACTACCCTGGCTTTAATATAAATAAATATTCCTCCTGTTGCCTGGCTCTTAGGTGCTAGCTGGCATGAACATCAGCTCTGTAGAGGAATGCAATGTCAGACTTCAAATATTGTTACTCTGGTAATGAGAGTAGAACAACCATGAGTTTTGGTATTATTAATGATGCTAAATATAGGTGACATTTATTATGCACTCCATGCATGTGAGATTTATTATCTCTTAACTCTCAAAATAACAATGTGAGGTAGCAGGGTATATTCACATTCTCTAGATTAGGAGCTGAAGAATATGAGAAAATCATCCAACTTTGCACCAATTAATGACAAAGTAGAATTTGAATGTGTAGTTATCTGATTCCAAGTTTCTTTCCCACCTCCCAACTCATTACAATTCCATCTGAGAATACTAAATATGTATAGAAGGGGCAAATATGCATGAAGGTGTAGGGTAGAAAATTACACTGAGTGTCGGGAATAAGGAAAGGCCTCAAGATGGAAGGCACTTGTAATGTGGCAATGAGTTGTGAGATGAGTAAGGGAAGCACACAGAGCTGAGTCCAGGTCAACTCACTATCCATAAATAGAAATTGGCAATTATGAACATCATACAGAATGAACAGAAAATGAAATGGAGTTAACATTGGGAGAATCACAGTCCATATAACAGAGACCTATTTTTATCATGCTGGGAGTGTGTCCTGATTTAGTCAGACTGAATGTAGCTTCTGAGGTAAGTAACTATATACACCACTAAGAAGACTTATTCATGCTCATTGCAAATTATTTTTTTTATTTTTCATTTCATTTATATGTACATATATAGATATAGATATTGATATCCCCTGAGTAGGCTCCTTTCTTATTCATTTATGACTCAACAGAATCTACTGTGCACTTTTACCTTGCACAAGCAATTCTGGTCTTCTCCTCCAGACTAATAGCATGACATTTATTCAAAATAAACTACTGGGAAGAGTATGGACTCAAGGATGATGTGTTCTTGGCTCTCCTGTTACCTCTCAGCAAAGGTAAAAAAGGCTACCAGGGCCAAGTGTTTGCTTTCACCCTCTCATAAGGTATGGTCTCCCTGATCCCAGAGGCTCTGTCCTCCAGTGACCAGTGAGACCTCATAGGACAGCTATGTTCTTACTGCCACCTTCCGTTTCCTTTTTATGTATGCTGTACTGTTTCTATGTACCCTAAAAGAGAAGTGCTGGTCAGTGGATTAGCCTGAAGCTGTTAGTGATAAGTCATAACCGATCATTTTCCAAGGGCTACCTGCCTTTCATCAAAGCATCTGTGTGGACTTCATTGATGTCTATGTCAAGTTCCTGAAAAAAGTCATTGGGCAGTGGAGAGGGTCAAAGTGCAGTTCTTGTTCCTAATCTTCCACTGCCTAAGATACACTTTCACTGGCTCCAGCAGTGACTATACTTATTTTCTCTTTGGATGAAAGTATCATACTGGCATTTCTGTCCCTTTTGATAAAGCTCTACTTCTTAAAATTCTGGATTTACAACATTATTAATAAACGCCCTAAGGACAGTTACCAATTTATTATTATTATTTTTTAATCTACTTGGTTCTTATGGAGAGGGGAAACTCCTTAGGTCTGAATTCTCTGGTTAGTGACCAGAGATGGTTTGAGAGCACTGAAGCTGACTGACTGTACTTCATTCATTTATCCAGGCTATGGTCATTAGGGACAACACTGTACCACACTGTGGTTATGCAATAGTGAATTAGACTGAAAATCCACGCCCATAGGGAATCTTTAAAAGATAGGAAAGACTGAAAATAGACAAGTTCACAAATCAGTAAGTTGATAATTGTACACACTGAGGAGTGGACTTAAGCAGTGTTGTATGAAAGTACTTACCTTGTCCTATATAGGGATGAGAGATAGGTAAGTGGGGTACAAGAGTGTGTCTGTGGAAAGGTGACATGGAGCTGAAACTGAGTGGTGAGAAGAGGTCAATAATCCAAGTGCCAGGGAAGTTCAAAGAAGGCTGAGGGAACAGCAAGGACACATCCTGAGGGAGGAGAGGAGATTTCAAATTAGAAAAGAGAACAAGAATGTGTGGTTTCAGTGTGGTAAGCACAAGGTAACCTGGAAGAAAATAGGGTCAGAAAGGAGCAGAGGTTAATGTCTTTAGAAAAATCAGTAAAAAACAATGGAATGAAAGGGAGAGATCTTTTCCTCGTTCGTCAAGACCACTCAGTGTTCGAAAACTAGATGTCCACCAATCTGCACCCATCACCGTACTTCACACACTCGCACCTCACACTGAGCTCAAACTCATTAAAACACCAAAAACTCCCATGGCTTTCAGCCTCAGGGTTGCTTCTCTGTCCTGGTCAGCTTCACACACAATATGGCCTTCCAGTCTTACTAGAGAACTGACATTTTCTAACCTGCTGTTCAGTTGGGTTTCTGTGTGCCTGTAATTTTCTAGGTATGAAATAATTTCTTCACTGCTGCACAGACAATATTATTTCATCCCTCAGCTGCAATGCCAGTTACTTTTAAAATCTCCTCCACTCTCCAGACTTAGATTCAGTTTCTACCTCCACATTGCAGCTCCATATTCCCTTAATTATCAATGTACTTCTTTTACTCTTATTGTTACTATAATTATGTGCCTTTTTCTTTGTTTTTGAATATTTGTTTAAAACTTTATTAATGCAAATAATCCTCTACATTTGGTATTACTTTGAAATTTATGATAACTATTTTTTATAAAATTATTTTATAGTTAAATCATGTTAAATATAATTATGCTATCAATGAATAATTGGTTGGTTAAATGATAGAAAAATGCTATGATGAGAGAACTATTGGTGGTTGCTTAAACATAAAAATAATTTCCTATTGGAAATAAAATATCAGAGTTAGGGAATCTAGCTAAGTGCTGAAGATGATTGAGGAAGGAAAGGGATACTTCCCAATGGCAGCCATAATGGATCTCTGCAAGGATAACAGCATTACAGCAGGTGAAAGTGGGTGAATATGCATCGTTACCTTGAAATATGGGAGAAGGGATAGATATGTATTTTAGTTTGCTTCAACATTCTTCTTTTTACAATACTCACCATTATTGTCCCTCTTCCACCCTGTTTTAAATCATTGGAAATGGTTATTTCTGATGCTTTGCCAAAGGACAGAATATATATTTCTTTCACAATCTCATTTGTCCTCAAGGTGTTCCACATTTACCCTATTGGCCACTTTTCACTTATGAATTCTTTCATGAAGAAGCAGTGGAGGCCAGTTGGAACTCCAGGTAAGGGAATTGGACTCCAAATGCTGGAAGCAATGCCTCCTCACTCGGTGGTTCTACTTCCAGTGCGACGCCTTTGTCTCTCTCCTTCCTCCTACATTTTCCCTTGGAATATGATTGATAGAGAGGTATATATAAACCTGTTTCTATAATTTAAAATATCCAGCTCATAATGTATAATAAAAACATGTTTATGTTTTTTCTTCAGAAGATTAAATTGTTTTCTTTCACCTTTCTTTATAGAAAACACATTTCAAACTCAATGGAAACGGCTTCTCCAGTTCCTCTCATAGCTCAAAAAAGCCATATTGAAAACACTGATCCATTTATATTACAATACACTTTATGTAATGTGATATGAATCATATTTTTGTACCAAGTAGAAAGAGATTTGACAGTTTGGGATGGATTCTTCAATGCTGATGCTTAGGAAATTTCTGTAAAAAGAAATATGTTTCTTTAATCACTTGCCAAAGTACTGGGATATGCTTGCACAGTGAAAATGTTCTCATTGACAAAACTAAAAATTTAGCCAGGAATGGAGTGGGAGTTTGCCCTTGGCATGGGGAGTATTATGGTAATCAGGCATTTTATTGCTTTTTTATTTTGTGAATCTTTCTCTGTCACCTTTTGTACATACAATTTGCAAATGAAATCCCATTTGCCTCTCCTGTTACCAACATGTAAGGTCCCTTATTTATACTCAGAACTCCAAGAACTTTACCTAGCTGAAGAAATTATCCCTAACACCAAATCTCATTAACAGTATGCCTTACATTCCATGTTTGATCTGGCTTTTTACAAGAGATAAAAACTTTTATTTACCAAATATCTAAAGTTATATTTTCCATACAGGAACATGGTGACAGATTTGGGGACACAAGAAGCTATAATCTTTCCTCTTGTTCAGAGGTGGGGGCAAGGTTAGGTGTTACAACTAGATTTTAGCACATTCTCCTTTGAGAGTCTGTGTGACCTTGAGCAAGTCACTAGAAATTTCTATACCTTTTTATTAAAATATGAAATAAAAGGCTTCTCTTAGATTCATAACATTCTTTCCAGCTATACAATGATAGATTCAAACTTAATGTTGAAGTTGGGAATGTAATCTAAGAATTCTGTTACCTTTATCAAGGTATCACCAAAACCTTGCTGATAAGTCTGTCAGCAATGCTATTTGGAAACGTCCTAGTGGAACGGCAGGACATAAATGGGTGTTGGGAGTGTAACACTGGATGAGGAGTCTTTCATAGATGCAGCTGAGGTAAAGAGGCACTTTTGCAGAACACATTATCATTTAAATTATTTTCCATCCCCATATCAAAATCACCCATTAAAAAAAGTTCCAGCAAATAAAAAAAAAATGAGCAGAAAGGAGATAATTATGATGGTTCGTGATATTTCCTTTCAGTGAGCTAAGCTTATGATTGAATAGTTTGCAGATTGCTTTTTTTTTTTTTAAGTTTTCAACATCTCGAATATCTGTTAAACAACAAAAGCCACCAAAAAAACTACTGAAATTTTTTAGGTGCTTCCACTGCTTAAAAAATACATATTTTTATCTTCACGTTTACGGTCAGGCAGCTGTTCATGCTAAATACTGTAAAGCACATTCTACATACTTACATTTGTTTCACTGTTGATACTCATCAGCTAAATTTCTGGATAAATTTCAAAGCAACCAGGCTTCTCCCTATTCTTTCTTCTATGAAGTCAGCAAAAGTATGTTTAAGTCAATGGCTCATTTGTGTCAAGGGTCTGCTTGGCAACGTTTAGACAAAAGGATTGAGAGTAAGAATGACTTGACTGAATGCTTGTTTTTGTCATCTTATTTTGTTGTATTCAAGTTGTCACTTGGACTATTATCATTCTATGGAAACAAAAGATTTTAAAACTTTGTAATAAATTCTTTCCAGCTCCATCATGTCTGAAGTTTTCCTGAGCTCCAGGAGTAATTCCTTTAATTCTTGTTGATCGATTCAAAAAAAAAAAAAAATTCCAGAGTAGCAAAAATTGGCCATTAGAGTCATGAGAGTAAAAGTACAGATGGTGCCTCTTAAATTCGAAGAGGCAATGGAAAATTAAAATGTATTTGAACTTTTGTGTTTATGTCTTTATGAAACTTGAGAAGGAGTAGCTGAAAGGAAGATCAGATGAAGAAAACCCTTTATTTAAGAAAATACATAATAATAAAAGTAACACTATCATGATCATGGAAATTCAGAGACATAGGGGAAAATTCATCCATCAGTATGACAGTGAGAGGCTCCTGATGGCACAAGCTAAAGGCAGATGAAGGAAAACTTAGTGTTGAGAAAGATCTGAGAAGCCAGAATGAAGCAAATATCAGATTACAGCCAAGCATAGCCTTCCCACAGAGTGTCACTGCCCAAGACTAAGTGTAGACAGTCTTCTTACATCAACACCAAATCATCCAGTGGATCGTTGCATTCCAGCAAATACGGCCATCACCCCTTACTGAATGAATATTTTTCTAGGTTAGTCTCATTATTTGTGTTTTACGTTTTGTACGGTCACAAAGACTGACATGAACATAAAAGAAAATATAATAATAAACATGACAGTGCTACATCTAGCCATCTAATTAATATGTTTACTTGCATACGTGTTATAATTAATCTTTGTGTCCCATTTTCTTGTCAAGATAAGATCAGAAATCTCAGTTCAAAATGAAATGTCTTTGAAAACCACCTTCAAAACCACCCTCTGCAATATCATCTTTCTTCAGTCCTTGAAACCCTTGCTCTGATACAAAATATTTAGGGGGTTGTCATAAAAACAACCTTGGTAAGGATTTGTGCAGGAAGTAGGGAAAAGGCAGCCCACTTTCTCTGAATGCCTGAGCATTTTCAGTTGCAGTCGTGCTCCCTGCCACAAGATGTGAGCGGTGAAATAGAGGCCATCCAACCCTAGTGGGCCCTGGATACCATGTCACCATGAAGTTCAAATAACTCTTCAACATTTGCACATTTCATTGCAGAGACCTGAGTCCTTCCTATAATGATCCCTGAGAATCTGACTTCTGCTACCCTAACTCAAGAAAAGTGCTTTGCAGGGATAGAACAGCTATTACTTTGCAGAATGAAATCATCTCTCCCAGAGTGCTTCTGCTTATCTTGGGAGCCCAACATAGTAATTTTAAATTTATTGATTACTTAATACCAATTATTACCATAGTTAATTATTATATAAAGTTTACCGCATGTTTGTACTTTGTAAAATTTATATATGTTAATTTTATTCTCACAAGCCTGTGAGGTTAATTTCGTGGCCATCTTTGACAGAAAAGAAGCTAAGGGTCATAGAGGAGTGACATTTGCCCGTAGCACAATGCTTACAAGCCTGAGGGTCAAGAGGCTGCATGTGGAGAGAGTCTTCTTGTTAGAAGAAGCCTAAGGTGGCATAGAGGCAGCACAGAGGCAGCACATGGCCAGGGCAAGAGCAGAGCATGCATGTGTTTCTGTTCATGTCCCTGTCTCCTTAAAATCCCATGAGTAGCCAAACCTGAGGTCCTTACCCTGATGCCTAATCACTTTCCAAAGCCTGATGTTTAAACACTGTAATCAGGTTAAGTCTCCACTCTCTCAACTCCATTAAAATGGCTCACTAGATTTTAATGCTTGAATTTTGGGGGTACATATTCAAATCATAGCAATAGCCAAGTCCCCTACACCCATCTCCACACTCAATTCTGGTGGAAAATGACCTAAAAAGATAAATAAGTTAGTTTA